ATATATATATATATATATATATATATATATATATATATATATATATATAATGAGAACGAATGTTTTCCAATTTCAACGTTCGTAACATTCAATTTAAAAAAAACAATAGAGATGTGTTAATACATATCGAAACATGATGGCATTTGTGTAGTGCTTTCTATATGTCTTGATGTAATATCCTAAAATATATATATATATATATATATATATATATATATATATATATATATATATATATATATATATATATATATATATATATGAATATATATATAATATATATATATATATATATATATATATATATATATATATTTTAAAAATCATGAGGTCAGTTGAATCCGTTACCTTGGTTTCAACCTTACGGTATCCTTAGGCGATTTTTTATTAAATGAGCACCTAATTTTTTTTTTTTTTTAAATAAAGAGAGCTACATTATTATTTAAAAAACTAAATAAACATACGACGTTGGGTGTAATGGAAAGAGAAGAGGAGGATGTGAAGAAGAGAGAAGAAAAAGAAGAATGGGGAAGAAAAGGAAAGCAAGTGCATTGTAAATGCATCAGTGTGAGGTTTAAAATATATTTTTTATCTAACCTCATATATGAAAGCGCTTAAGACTTCGTATTTCCGGTTTAAAAGTTTTTTTTGGGTGGGGGATCCGTAAATTTCATAAACGCTATTTTTTCATGTTGGCAGTGGTTGAAAATATGGTTGTGGTTGTTTTATGGTTTTGATTTTCTAAAAATTTTCCACCTTACACACACACACATATATATATATATATATATATATATATATATATATATATATTTTTAACAGGGAACTTCACCCTGTATAAGACTGGGGGACCACTTGAGGTAGAAGGTTACGTTAAGAGGCAGTTTATGTGGATAGGTGAGGAAGATAACGTTTATTCTTGGACTTGAACATGTTAAGATTGTGGTAATCGGGGGAACAACCTCTTGGAAGCCGGTTCCACAGAACTGGGGTTGCGTAGGGGGAAGAAGCTGTTCGAGTTTAACTTACAATGGAATACCGAGGGAATGATGGTGGTCTGCTATAATGTGCGTGACATGGCGGGTCCTAGCCATGAAGGTTAGAACTTGCAGAACAAACAACGTAGTTCGTTTGAGTACTTATTGGAGCGACCAAGTAATGGATCGGGCTTATTAAAACCCTTCCTGCTTGTCGCTCAAGAGACTGTTTTTATTTAGGTGCCCAACAATCTTGTTGATTATAGCCTTTAAAAAGGTTTCTAATGATACTGAGGTGACTGATAGGTCTATACTGAGAGTGGATGAGGGCTTAACCGCCTTCTTGAAAACCGGGCATACGCTTGACACCTTTCTATAGGTTTGGGAATGATTTCTCCTTCAAGCTGCGGTTAAATAACTTCGCTAGGAGCAGAGCTAGTTCCCAGTTGATATTCTTGAGGACAACCACTGTGATTTTGTCTAGGCCACTAGCTTTCTTAGGGTTTAAGGCTTTTAATAAGTCTTGAGACTTCTCGGGTTGTAATGAAAATATTACGGAAACTGAGCTCATTGGGACGTGGGAAGGTGGTGACGGGGTGGCCTTTGTCATCTAAAATCGAATTCGAAGCAAAGATCGAGACGAATAGTTTCGCTTTATCTGTCGAGGAAGACATGACCTTGGGGCCATTTATAATTTGTTTCTTATCAACCTGGGACTGGACCGCTTGTGCATATCTACACTTTGCATTTCCCAAAACTTTCTTGAAGTGCTTGCCGGCGACTCTGAATGCAGTAAAATTTGAACTACACCGCTCCTTGTGATAGATATTGACGTAGGGGAATCGGGTATGTATAACAGCGGCAGGTTCAGGGTTGAACTACGGCTGGATGTGTGTTTTTTTGTTAGAATTTTTTGCTGAAGGGTGAGGGGGTTATAAAACTCTCCATTTTAGAAAGGATCTATTCAGAGACGAGGGTAGCAATTTTGGAGATAGCATATTTGAAAAAGGTTGACAGAAGTGCTTCCGCCATATAAGAACGAAAGCTCTGCCAATTTGCCTTCGTATAGCGAATAATCGTTCTATGGAACGGCAAATCATGGTATGCCTTTGGTTCGGCATCAGTTTGGACACTGACTATGAAATGTTCTGACGTACCAGGTCAAGATATGAGGAAAAGGTCGAGAAGGTTCTCCCGGTGTCCCGTTGCGTCAGGGATGCAGGTCGGTTCTTTGATGACCTGGGCTAGTCGCAAAGATTTAGACGAAGAGAAGAATAATATCTCATATGTTTATTATTTCAAAGTCCCAAGAAAATTAAATTTTGACATTAAATAGACCCATAAAGGACTTGCTATGCCGTTAAATGAATCAAATGGCGCAGAAGATAACGGTTTATCCTAGACTTGAACAGGTTAAGACTGTAGTAATCGGGGAAACATCTCCGAGAGAGTCGGTTTCATAGAGCAAGGGTTTGGGGGAAGAAGCTGCTCGAGTTGAACTTTCTTCTTACCGATGGAATACGGAGGGAATGTGGGTGATTTGCTATGATGGAAGTGGCATTGTCTGTCCTAGCCATGAATGCAGTTCGTTCAAGCACTATCTATGGAAGTAGCGTTAGAGCAGTGAGAAGCTCGCCACATCCCAACTGTGGCAGAGAGGTTGGAAGGTGGATAAATGATTAATCACCCACAAGGACTCGTAGACGCTTTTGAACTCTAACAAGACTGGAAAGTAAAAAACTAGGCAGTTTCTGCCAACAGCACCCCATTTTCGACCTGGTCTAACTCTTTTAAAGGTAGAAGATAGAATGAGGAGTCATACACTTACTAGAGCGGCACGGGGAGGTAATCATTTTACCTGTATCTTTAGAGATGGATCATATGTAAGAGTTCCACTTGAGGTCAGGTGTGACTTTAACGTCCAATAGTCTTTCACGGCACGGTGCCTTCCCGAAGACACATCTGTTCATTGTGAATGACGGTAGTTCTATATAAATTACATAGCATTTAAGAACTGTTACTATGTTCTGTGAGATATCATCGGGTGGATTTAATTTTCCTATCACAGATATGATCTATATTATACAGGATGTCCATAAAGTTCGTGTGCACTTTAAAAAATAACTTTATTTGTATTATAATTTTTTAAAGTGCACACGAACTTTATGGACACCCTGTATATTGGAATAATTATCTATCCCATTGCACCAGAGTTTCTTAACCTTTTTACCCTTGCGTAACCCTTAAAATAAATTACATATCTCAAGGAACCAATGCGCAAAAACAAAATTATATACCATGTCTTTTTCATTTTATTTCCATCATAGTTCCCATGGTAAATATCATAGTATATATCTTTGAATAACTGGTTTAAGGAAAAATTAACACTTTGTCAAATTTTTCAGTAGTGCTAAATAAAATCCATATTGTTCGTTTATAATTATTATAATTATTCATATTGACGTTGGTTAGATTCAGTGACAGGACCTAAACAGTATGAGTTCAATACCCGCTTAAGGCAGTGGAGAACTTAGAGAGGGGAATTAACAGGAGATAACTGACATCCATTAAACATGGTACGTGGAACTAGAACAGTCTACCCCAATGAGCGAAATAAAGGGTTTAGTTTGATATTCCAACCACCTGAAGAAGGCCGGAGTGTACAGCGGCCGAAATGTTGTAATAACTATGGCGACAAAGATGAGAACAATAGTCCGAATAATGTAAATAGTGTATAAAATTTCCATTAAAATATCTTTTATCAGTATCAATTATATTATATTTTTAAATAATTGTTTGATGTATAATTCTGTAGTTTCGACATTTTTATTCTTCACCGTGTCGCTTAACGACACATTGAATTTAAAGGTTAATGCTTCTTGAAAGTCTTCTATACTTATTAATATACTGGTATACCTCGGGTTACGTCGTTTCGTGTTAAGTCGTTTTCGATTGTACGTCGATTGTCAAAAAAATTATATGAAAAACAAAAAATCAAGTTTAAGTCATTTTATTTGACTTTACATCTATCAGCCACAAATACTGAAGTCGTAATATCACTAGAAAAGCGTTATTTTATAATTTCTTAGAGCAAAACCCATTAAGAAATAAAGATGTATTGTAAAGATCGCCATATTTACAAGTATATATGTCCATGTATTTGTAAATTTACATTAATTTTTTCTGTACTATATTAAAAACTAAGATTTATTTGTTTCTCAGCTTAAAATAGATTCTTATTGATCATATTTTATTAAAAATATATTTATAAATAAAATACAGAACTGGGAATAGTTATTTATGGTTTAACCTAGTAAAAAGTAAATTTGGAGACAAAAAAAATTTGACGTAAGTCTTTTTCGACTTAAGTCGCCTCTCCTGAAACAAATTATCGACGTGTATGTATATCTATCTATCTATCTATCTATCTATCTATCTATATATATATATATATATATATATATATATACATATACTCTCTCTCTCTCTCTCTCAACCAATTCGTAAATTTAGATTAATTTTTTTCTGTATTATATTAAAAACTAAAATTTATTTGTATTTAAGCTTAAAATAGGTTATTATTGACCATATATTATTAAAAAAATGTATTTATAAATAAAATACAAAACTGGGAATGGTTATTTTTGGTTTAGCCTAGTGACAAGTAAATTCGGAGACAAGTAGATTCGACTTAAGTCATTTTTCGACTTAAGTCACCTCTCCTGCAGCAAATTACCGACGTAAGGTGAGGTATACGTGTAATGGAAAAACTGATGTGTAAAGTTGGGATCGAAATAGATAAGGAAACCATAACGGCAAGAGATGAACAGGCATTGACACAATCATTTTCACAAAGAAAACTATTCATCAATCTCTTTTGTCATTTTTTACTCCTTGTGTACTGCGGATTGATTGGTGAATAGGGAAGTTGCCAATTCTGACCCGGCATTAGTGGACGAATTAAAGAAAAGAAAAGGAGTTGAAGTAAAAGGCGTAATAGTTTTAAATTGGTTGTTTTAGCCTCTATGTGCATATGAATATATGTGTAGATGAATTAATTAGATAAGAAGGAAGGAAGGAAGGAAGGAAGAAAGGAAGAAGGAAGGAAGGCGAAATGAATGTGAAAAAAGGAAAAGAAAGATGAGAGCAACTGAGAAAATGAAGAAAGAAAAAACGAAAAAAAGAAAAAAACGAAAAAAACAAAAAACGAAAGAAAGAAAGTTGTACAAAGTCAGAAAACACAGATTTATGAGAAAAGAAAAGAAATTAAAAAAAGACATAAAAGCATGATGAGGTAAAGAAATAAAAGGAAAGAAAGAAAAAGAAAGAAAGAAAGAAAAAGGAAAAAGAAAACGAAAAAAGAAAGAAAGAAAGAGAGAAAGAAAGAAATATGATTGATTTATCGACTGATTTGTTTTTACGCGGCTTCTTGACTCTTGTCTAATTGAATCCGAATTGGATTGTTATAAAAAATTTTTGCAACTGAATATTTTATTAAGCGTATTTTAAAGACAATAATGATTTACTGATAAAAATTCTACTATTAACCAATAGCTTGGGAAGAAGAGACAGGTTCATACATTTTTCAAGGTTATTTGCACGTAAGTGTATGTAACAAACCTAAGTGGATTTCGAAATCGGATCTCCGATTTCCCATCCCGTGACGTTGTCCATTACATCACCCGCATACCCAAGCTTACCTCTCCTGGTATTTCTAAGTGGTCACCCATCTAAGTACTAACCAGGCACGACGTTGTTTAACTTCTGTGGTCTAATGAGAGACGGTGTTTAATTGGGATACAGCCGTAGGCGTGAATAATGAAGAAGAAATAGAAGTGCGAAAGAAAGAAAGAAAAAAGAAAGAAAGAGGAGAAAGAATGAAAGAAAGAGAGGAAAAAGATGAAAAAGAAATAAGTAAAGAAAGAAAGAAAGGAAAAATGATAAAAAAGAAATAAAGAAAGAAAATGGAGGAAAGAAGAATGAGAGAAATATGAAGAAAAAAGAGCAAACGAGAAAAATTAGACAAAACGAAAGAAAGAAAAAAGATGAAGGAAAAAAAGAGGAAATACAGAAATAGGAAGAAGAAAGAAAATGAGAAAAGAAAAAGAATGAAAGAAAGAAAGAAAGAAAGAAAGAAGAAAAGAAAAATATAAAGAAAGAACAAAAATGAGGACAAAGAGAGAAATATGAAGAAGAAACCAGACGACGAAAGAGTAAGAAAGAATGAAAGAAAGAAAGAAGATGAAGAAAGAAAAAGGGAAAAAGGGGATAAATAGGAAGAAGAAAGCAAACGGGAAAAGAATTAAAAATAAAGAAAGAAGGAAAGAAAGAAAGAAAGAAAGAAAGAAAGAAAGAAAGTTGTAAACAAAGTAATATCAGAAATAAAAAAGACGTGAACAAAAAATTAAATCTATTTATAAAAAACGAAACAAGATTTTCAAAATTTAGTTTCTAGAATCCAATTTTAAATTGATGAAATACAATCACACAAGAAAGCTGATGCCTCAACAAAAATGGATAGATATAACATTTAAGATGGCCGACTTGAAAGGAGGCGAGCCTTGTTCATAGCGCCGAGACGCATTTTGGCGTATCGCCACGTTTATCAACATCTGGTCAGGGTCTTTCTAAAATTCAAGGAAAGAAACGACAAAAGCTGGGCAGTTTTTTTTTTTTTTTTTTTTGAGTTTATGTCGGTGAGAAGACATTTTGATAAGAGCAGATTTTCCACCCTAAGGTCGGGCATTCAATACTGGCCAAGATGGAAAGGTTGCGTTCTCATTCAGAGAAGGAAAGCTGAGCGCACGTATGCTGCATTAGGTTTGCATCTATTATCAACAATATCATTTGACCGGAGAGGGAAAATAAATTTGACAACATAAAGATTCTTCTGTTCGGGACAGACTTTGCATTCTTTTAAACATATATTCATTTATTATTGGGTTTGAGGTTAGCAACTCCAACAACTTATAACATAGAAACTCCTGATGCTCCAGCCTTACACAAAGTGTTGATAGTCTTGGGTATGACGATAAACTACATCCGGCAGCAAGGTCTTTGATCATGAGATTGAAGGTTTCGAGGAGCGTGGAAACATCTGTTAATTGATGTTGATTCCAGGTCTACCCTGACCCTGGGTGGTAGCATCTGTTATGGCCCCATCTATGGGCAAATAGTGAACCCCCCCCACAAAAAAATCAAAACCCTAGGAAAGTATAAAAAATATATTTTTTATAGTAAAAATACGGACAATACATTTTTGTAGTGAAATTACCAGAAATATTTTTATTAGAAAATTACCAAGAATATATTATTATAGTAAAATTGCCAAGAATACATTTTTACATTAAAATTACAAACTATACATTTTATAATAAAACGAAAAAAAATACGTTTTTATAGCAAAATGATCAACAATAGATTTTTATAACAAAATGACAATCAATACACATTAAGGTAAAATTGAAAACATGGCATACATTGTCAAAAATACAATTTGCTAAGATTAGTCTCCTTTCTTGTAAGGAGAACCAAGTTTTCAATTCTAGTTTGATTTTATAAGATTATTTGGTAAAATAAATGTAGCTAATTAATTTTTATTAAATACTGAAATAATGTTATTCTCTTGAATCTATCTATCTCTCTCTCTCTCTCTCTCTCTCTCTCTCTCTTTATATATACATATAAAGTTGTAGTTTGAGACACCTGGTGTAGAATAAAATCGGCTTAAACTCAATGGAGATGAGAAAACTATTTTAAGGAGTTGCTAAAATAATATGAGTAACTAGCAGTTATACCCCAGCAGGTCGATCAGAAAAAGCGTTCAATTTGAATGGAGCAAAACAGCATCCTGTTTAGATGTAACAGAGTCTATCATCTTCAATTAATTTAAAGTAATTTCATTAAAAAACATTTTGAATTAATGCAGTTATTGATATAACAGAAGTAGTCTGTATTTATTCAATCGAACTTAGTCGAGAACATGAAGGGGTAAACCAGGTAACATGAAAACCCAATTCAGACCCCGATTATTTTGTAGTTTTTGAAATTCAATTTGTCAATGTGCTACCAGGGATGTAAAAGAGGATACATTTATAAAGCAATTGTTAAGTCTGATGAAAATTAGTTGAAAGATCAACGAAAAATAAGAAAGAAATAATTAAAAATCTCCATTTTTCGCTATTTACGCGGGTTTTCACGATATGGGTGGACTCATTTATCGAGTTAAATGACTGTTAAACAATCGACTTATTGTTGGTTACAATTGAGGGAAGTTTGCATTCGATTGTTAGAAAATTGAGGGAGTTTTAGTTTAAAATTTGTGTTAAAATCTATTTTTCGTTTTTGGCGGTTTTTCACTAAACGCAACGACGTAGAAATATCATTGAGCTCGTCATGATGTAAGTAACATACATACCGAGTCTGAACGAAATCGGAGGGAAAAAGTTGAATTTATCAATTTTTGATCGGCTTTATCGATAATTATTATTTTTTAGATTTTTCTACGCTAAGAAATGTACAATGAGTGCCAAGTTTACATTATACAATTTGTGTACCAATTTTGGTCAAATCGGTTAGATAAATTTCGAGTGAAAATGTAAGTGGGCCTGGAATATTTGACATTTGGACGTAGAGAAGGCAGAAGGAAAATATCGAATGACCAAACTAATGAACTTGTGTAAATGGAGGAGCAAATAGGAACTGAGAGGCAAATATTGCTAAGTGATACAAATTATAGGAAATTGTGGATAGCTATGTTCGCCAATGCCCTAAAAGAACAGGGTAAATGAAAGAAGAAAAAACATGCTCGGATCTTTATAATGTCCACTACTTAAAGCTACTAAATGGTTGAAGAAGAAAGCTATCCTCATGATTAATTGATCCAGACTGTCGATGTGCTGGGACCAACCCTTTCAAATGTGATAATATTATCGAGTCGATTGATCGATTAGTACTGTTTGCTAGTATTTGTTGTTGTTATTATTATTATTATTTGTTATTATTTGACATTATTATTTTATGCGACTGAGTGGTTGAAGAAGAAAGCTAGCCTCATGATTAATTGATCCAGACTATCGATGTGCTGGGACCCAAACTTTCAAATGTGATAATATTATCGAGTCGATTGATCGATCAGCGTATTTTTCCAGTCTGTCAACTATTCAATAATTTACTCGACGTTATTCTGAGTGCTTAAAGCAAAATTGGCGAATGTGGCAACTTGTTTGAATGAAAAAAAATAGAAAATAAATAAAAAAACAATGATATATATATATCCACACACACGCATATATATATATATGTATAGATATATGTGTGTGTGTGTTTGTGTATGTGTGCGTGGAACCTGTGCACGTATTGAGCTGTATATATATATATAATATTATTTTATATATTCGGAAAATATATTTGACAGCGTGCCGAATATATAATTCAATTTACCGAAGATTAAACGTACTGTTATTCAAAGTGGATTACATTAACTGAATATATATATATATATATATATATATATATATATATATATATATATATATATATATATATATATATATATATATATATATATATATATATACAGCTCAATACGTGCACAGGATCCCAAATGAGTTGCGCATCAACAGTACGCAAAGGCCATATAAATACATTGCATATCATTCAAGCGTTCTTTTCATAGTGCCTAAGCGCTCAAGTACAAAGGTCCGTGGTCGAGTGGTTTCAACGTTCGCATTCTGATCATGAGAGCCTGGTTCGAATCTCAGCATAGTCTATTTGTCAGGAAAGTGACTTTTTGATATTATCGGTCTGGAGGAGACGATACCAACATGCGGCACCTTTGGAAATTGCCTGAAAAACATATCATGGTGTGTGAAAATGCCATCTCCAATGTCACACAGCTTTAAATGACATCACTGAGTTGAACCGATAACTACTACAAGGCAACGAAGAAATTCAGCTGTTTCAGTTTTAATATATACTATATATTACTCTAAAAAATATATTGTAAAACAGGTTGACGTTGACATGTATAAAAATACGTATGCTGTTGGCACACTGAATGATTCTTAAAACCCTAGGTCGACATATCGTTAGCAAACGGTAGCCGACCCCTGTACTAGAGAAAACTTTCGTAAATATCTGCTCAGAAGAATATTTGAATTTAATGAAACAAATATTTCCTCGGAATAATATTTTGCGAGACGTGCCTTGCTAAATATATCTGTTCAGATGGGTATGATGTACTAGAGCAGGAGGTCGGTAACCTATGGCACGCGTGCCACAAGTGGCACGTCAAGCAATTTCCAATGGTATGCAGCCGCAAATGACATCACGAAGTCAGAACCAATAACTACTACAACGCAAAGAATATATTTAGTTGTTTCAATTTTAATATATACTTAAGTATTTATATATACTATATATTACTACATAAAATCTATTGTAGAACAGGTATATAGACCTTGACTTCTATAAAAATACGCATGCTGTTGACACACTGAATGATTTTAAATCACTAAGTCGGCACATAGTTAGCAAAAGATTGCCGACCCCTGGTTTAGATTACGAGGAAAAGGAATGTATTCACTGTATTGATATTATTGTTTTATTGTTATTAACGCAAGTTCCTTGTCATAAAGTATTGATTATGAGTTTTATGTTAACGGATATCCAGGTTAACTTATAATATGTGGGCCGCTATAAAGGACTAGGCTTTTTGTCGCATTACAAATATTCAACTTAGGAAAGACTTTTTCGTTTTCTCCTCCTTTCCTCTGTGAACCGTCAAATATATAAATAAATCAAAATCTCTATCGCTAGTTACTGTTCACGTGTGGGTGTGTGGTTTGGGGATTTTTACCGAACGTGGATTCTTCTTCTGATGATGATGCAAGAGACTTTCTTCTCCTCTCTGGTCTGTGGTTATGTTTCTGCCAGTTATCACGTTTATCCCACGTATACACACAATACGCACAGCTGGGTCGACCACGTGTTTACATGTCGGAAGCAGTCACTAATGTCCAGTGAAGGCGCGAGTCTGCACCTGACAATTAGGATGTTATTTCGTAGTCGGCAGAGAGAGAAATATTTTTTCAATATATCATTAAATTAATTTTTTTGAAAATAATAAGGATATTTCCAGATGCAAATCTTACTATTTAACCTATATCTGGGGGAGAAGGGATAGATTCACACATTTCCTGAGAGTATTTAAGCGCAAGTGAATGTAACGAACCCAATGAGAATTCGAACTCGACTCTCCGATTTCTAATTCCGAGCCGCCACCCGTTTCTGGGTATAAGACCAAACAGGCGCGAAGACAGGGAGACAGTAGAAAGAATTTTGAAGAGTCAGGACGCTTCCCGCACCCAGATTCCTTAACGAGGCAAGGCAGCACGTGGCGGGGGAAAATTCTAGACACTGAGTTAACATGCATCATCTCGCTATCTCTCTCGCTTTTTCGGAGTAACGATGCTACAACTACTGTATTTTATATAACACTGGCCAAGAAAAAAAAATGAATGGTGTAGTGACACCAAACATCTTTTTAAAGGAGAGTGAATTTAAAATGACTTTACTTTTTCTTCGTTAGCTACCGTTTTTGCTGTACAAAAATGTGCCATTTTTGGAAAAAAAAAATATTTGTTTTCTGTCTATATGATATTGACCGATGGCAATATTTCTCAAAATGAAATCGTAGAAACTTCTCAGTTCGTATTTAAACCAACAAATATTGGTCTGCTTATTGAGAAATACTATTTTTACAATAATAATCAGACCCCAAGTTTTTAAAAATAACACCATTAAATATACCAAGACCAACAAGTATTTTCATCAAATCATTTAATAAACTAACAGCAGAAATAAAACCTTCGTGAACATAAGAACTATGGTAAAAATTTTCTCTTTCTTGATTGCCTGTCATGTTCTATGTTATTTAAGTCCCTTTTGATATTCCAGCAGTATCATGTACAATGGAATTGGGATGTCTTTAGTTGGAGTTTCTTTCCAACTGAAAAAACAAAAAGCTCTCAATGTGCTTGGTTTCCTTCCGTAGTGAAGGGTTAAAAGTGATGGGATAAATGTATGAATATCAAACAGAAGATTTTAAAGTTCATTTTTTTTATGTCACCTTAATTATCAAGTTTACTAGATTGTATTTCTGATACAGTTTATCAGTTAATTTGAATTTTAGCGATAAATTGAAAAACTTCGGTACATCTATTTTAAAATTTTTTAATTCAAAACGACATTTTTCTTATGAAAATAGGTTATTTCAGGTGGCTGACATAAATTGTTTGCCTTACATGATAATTGTTGGGTTTTTTTACGACATTTATTAACTAAATTTTGCGATCAACAATCGTAATTTGATCTTTTTTTTTTTAAATGAGTAATTTCAGTAGAGCAAAAATGGTAGCTAACCATGAAAAACTAAGGTCATTTTCGGAATCAGCACCATCAAATTAGCTAAAAAATATCTTTTATTTCTTCGCACTTAAAATCGTGTTCACGAGTATAATAAAACGAGATAAGAAAATTGTCAATCATTGATGTGATCTATGGTGCAGCATTGGAGTCTGAAGACTTGGAACACCACGAAATGTAGAATTCGCTCGAATAAAGGTTCTATCGTAATATTCTTTTAACAGAAGCGGTAACCAGTCACAAGTAGTTTCTTTAATATTGTTTACATTTACAAATGAATAAAGCCATACATACTCCGCGTGTACATGTACTTACTTCTTAACACAACCGAGGTGTGAAGAAGAGGAACAGAGTTTGTTGGTCGACCTGTGACAGCAACACCGCCTAGCGTTTCGGGAGGAAAAGAAGAAAAGAAGAAAGCTCATGGTGAATAGAAGAATGAATAATATAAAATTAATACAAGAGAGCGAAACGGTACGGTCTATTAAAGCAGCTTATCTTTTTTTATATGTACCCGCTCGATGATCCGTTCGTACGCTAGTCTATTTTTAGCTATTTGACCGTCTACATAACCTTATAGCACACAACCATCCAATCACACACACACACACACACACACACACACACACACACACACACACATACACATATATATATATATATATGAAGAAATATAGTTTTAAGGTGTGCTATATTATGGGATAAAGTGCTCAATATCAGAGATAGAGCTTATGTAAATATAAATATAAATATTGAAGTCAACACTTTATGTAAATATAAATATAAATATTGAAGTCAACACTTACACGCAATCATCAGACGGCCTGAGGACTGCGTCCAGCATGAAACACACTGTTGCCTCTGAGTGTTGACTTCAATAAATCACTTTTATATATATATATATATATATATATATATATATATATATATAACATTAAGTGTTGACCTCTATGTTCACTTAAATATATATATATATATATATATATATATATATATAGAAACGACAGTCTGTTTCATGCTATATGCAATCATCAAGCCACCTGACGATTGCATCTAGCATGAAACAGACTGTCGGTCTGACGATTGTATATAGCATGAAACAGACTGTCGCCTCTAAGTGTTGACTTCTATGTTCACTTTTATATTTACACACGCTCTATCTCTGATATTGAGCACTTTATCCCATAAATATAGCACATCTTAAGACTCTCTCTCTCTCTCTCTCTCTCTCTATATATATATATATATATATATATATATATATATAGTGGACTCTCCCCTCTTTTTTTAGACGTAAGAGAATCATGCAACTAAGTTCCTAGGAACCGACAGCCAGACACCTGCACTTATTATTTGATTATAATGGTGAAAGCTTTGTGCAGAACCAACCACACTTTTTGAAGGGCTGAATACAAAGACCTGGTGCAATACGTGCCACAAGGTCCCCAAAGAACCCTCCGCAGGTTTTGACTTCAGAGCTGTCCTTCTCCTAGACCAGTTTCCATCCAAGGCTACAGAACCCAGTTTATCCTTCTATTTACCCATAGATGGAGGGAAAAGATGACGATGAATAACTTTCCCAAAGTTGTTAGCGCGTAAGTGAATGTAATGGATTTAACTGCAATTCGAACACGGCTCTCCGCTATCCACTACTCCACTGCGCTTTATATATATATATATATATATATATATATATATATATATATATATATATATATATATATATATATATATATATATATATATATTAATTGCCAGTATATATAATATTATAAAGAAGTAATCATACCAAGAATTAATCAGTAAAGTTAATGTAAGTAATGGCGAAATTACTTCGTTAACAAATCAATAAAGCATTAATTTACCAACCACTCTCTGAATAACGCGATACATGAATTATATGTTCCGATATATATATATATATATATATATATATATATATATATATATATATATATATATATAAACATTATCTATGATAATCTATGATTATTTCGATATATATATAAACATTATCTATGAGTTCAAATGCCCTTTAAGGAACTGCGTTCCTCACCAAACCGGATTCATAAATAATTACATCGGCTACACAACCATATGTTTATCCAGACGTCTTACGTTACACCTATCTGATCACAGCTCCATCAGAACACATTTAAACACACACTCAGATTTACCCGACACTATTAGGAACATACTAGTAGAAAACACAAATATATTAACTGCATCCACTTGCAAAAAAAGACTAAAAATAATGGAAGCTCTAATAAAAAAGAAAAAGCCAACTCTTAACAATATTAACTATGAACAAAGCCATAATGTGCTAACCGTATTCGGAAATTAAAAACATCACTACCACACAATGAACATACACAGAATTGCACACACTCTACTAAGCTGATAATCGAATCATCCTTGATAATGGCTAAAGGTATAGCCGAAAGCGCTCGAAAATGCAAAACATTCGGACAGTTCTTACACACCCTTTGTCCAGAAAAGAAAGCTCTTGTCAGAACACAAGAAAAAATTAAATAAAAAAGCTCAACCGTAGTACCTTGTCTGTCGTTTTTAATGAAACATGCATATATATATATATATATATATATATATATATATATATATATATATATATATATATATATATATATATATATAATGTCCCCAAACAAACCTGCCTGCCGGACAGTCTATTATTTATTGGTATGTATGTTATTTTATCTGCACGACACTCTATTTTCGGGTTAGCCACTTCACTTATGGTTTTATTTTCGATTACATTGAAACCAGGATCCAGAAAGATATGATCATGTGTCCCCGTAAACCAGTAATTGTCGTGCTAGTCTTTTTATTTCTCACCAAAATCTATCTTGCGCATTTATAAGTCTGCCATTCGTTCATATTTTGAATATTGCTGCTACATCGGTTCTGGCACTTTCGCTATGCACTTAGAGATTCTTGATAGAATCGAAAAAAGAATATGCAATGTTATCCGTCCTTACTGGGCATCTCTGACTTCAGTCCCTTTCCCGCCACCGTAATGTAGCTTTCCTGTGCCATTTCTCTAAATACTTTCATGGTGATTTTTAATATGAGCTTTTCTCCTTGGTAGCTCGACTTCACGAATGTAAAGGCAGTACTAGATTGGCAGCTAGGTTTCATCTTTTTACAGTTAAAATGACTAGATGTAATAGTTTCTTCTGTCGCACTTCAAGCTTGTGGTACCCTCTTCCGGATTCTTACTTTCTAATCAACTTTGATCTTCAAAAGTTTAAATGCAATGTCAGTCGTTATCTCATGGTTTCTGAATTCCTGTTCATTTATTGTTGTTTCTCCTTAAAAAAAATACTTCTCTTTTTCTCATATTATTTCACCTTGTGTCTTAGTGGCTTTATTGCCTTGCTTCAAATGGAATGATTAAAAACTAAAAAGGAATCAGAGAGGCACCACATGTAAGTCAGGATCAAATGTCAGTCAGAGCTTTTACCACGAAGCTATCTTCACTCGGCAGTGATACAGTTAAATCTAGCGTATTGTTTTTACGAATGTAAACAAATGCCGATCAGCCGAAGTGCTCCATTCATTTTACTGAAGAGCTTTGCATTAATTCCCTCAAGAACATTATTTTGGTGAAATCCATTTACACGACAAAACTCGTTGCATAGATTTTTTTTATTTCATCATCCAGTTACTTATAAAGTTCTATCTAGTACCTCATATTTGAAGCCTTGTGCCAGACTAAGCCAAAGTTAGTAAATAGCACGGAGATATAGGTCAGCAAGTCCCGAATCGATTTTATTTGTCTTAGTATTCGATTGAGCTCGATCCTTACACGGCACCTGATTATTCTGTCTCTGAATCATGTCTCAGTCGATATCCGCTCAACTACAGGTAGCTGCATCTCTCTCTCTCTCTCTCTCTCACACACACACAAGCAACAATGAAACGTCATTGGGGAGTTAAACATTCCGGTCAATAAAAAAAGATTAGGTTAACTGTGAAATGTGCCAAGTGAACCATGAAAATGAAATGTCACTGAAAGCTTTGTTTAACGTTAGGCACTCACATATAGAATTATTATTTAAGTATGAAATTTTAGACTTATTTGTTAAGCTTAGCAGGGACATGGCCGTAAATGTGTGTCAAACGTATAAGAATAGTTGTAAGAGTCTGCAAAAATTAACTCGTTAAATATTACTCCAAATATGACATTTTATTAGCATTTCTTTCATTTGTCATAAAGGAGCCACGGTATAATAATAGATAGTAGCTCGGATTGGGGCAGTTGGAAGAGCCGGGTTCGAATTCTAGTCTAGTCTATTTATTAATTCGCTTGCTAAAAGGTATGAATCTAAATTTTCTCCCACCCGCCAGCTATGGGTAAATAGTTGGACAGGCTGTATTCTATAGCCTTGGGTGGTAACCGGTCAAGGTAAAAGAAACTCTAAATTAACAAAACCTATATGTAGCCCTAATAAAGCACATATAATGCAGTTAAGAAAAGGATCGTTTACATTGACTCAATGATCCCGATTCTTTATTTTTCTTTCTTTTATATATTCGGTCTCTTGAGGACGTGAGTGATCATGGTTCTCCACTACTTCTTTGTAGGTCTTAGTAATGTTTGCTTTTTAATTTTGTCTTTTTTTTTAATTATTCCTCTCATTCTCTGTTCTGTTATCCATTCACAGCTTCTCAGATAGATTTCACGTTGTTTACTTCTCTCTTGCCTTCAATATGTTCTGTGAGTGTCATATTTTCTAACCGTCTTTCCAAGCTTTCTTTCTCATTCTGAGGGTCCTATTTGTTTCCATTTTCTTTAAAACCTCGTCGTTGCTTAAATGGTCTGGCAACAGAATCCACAGCATCCTTCCCAAGAACCACGCCCGTCTTGACGATAAACTACATCCGTGTCTTGGGTAAGACGATAAACTACATCCGCGTCTTGGGTAAGACGATCAACTACATCCGCGTCCTGGGTAAGACGATAAACTACATCTGACAGCAAGGCATTTAATCAGAAGGTTTTGAAGAGCGTGAAATCACCACTTGATTGTTGGTGTTCCCAGGTCGACTCTGACCCGGTGTGGTAGCACCTGTGAGAGTCCCAAGTATGAGCAAATAATTACCCCCCCCCACCACCAAAAAAGTGGTCAAAACACTATGAAAATATAAAAATAGGTTTTAATACCAGTCGGATAACCGAGTTCGAATTCAATTCGAATCCATTACATTCACTTACATGCTAATACCCTTGGGAAAGTTATGAACCCTCGTCTAACACCCCCCGCCCATCTATGTGGAAATAGTAGGACAGACCCGGTTCTATAGTTTTGAATGGCAACTGGTCTACCCCAGAATGAAATGGCGACCTACTGCGGGAAAAATTGCCTTGTCAATCATGCATGGACAGATACATGATCGTCTAAGCGTGTATAACGCATGGCACATAATTGACTGAATACCAAAAAAAATACCAGCAATATATTTTTGAAAAAAAAACTAAAAAAAAACTTGTCGGCATTAAATAACACATTGAGGTTGATATGCTGTAAAACAAAACAAACCAAACCAAAAACCTAGAACCACGTCTTTCCTGCCTCAAGTCTTTTCTTCATGTGTAAAGATATTGTTCAGCATTTACTGCCATATTAGGGCACTGATATTACATATCAGTTCAGCACTCTTTACTTTCTTTCTGATGTAATGAATATGCATACACCTGGGTTCCCCCTCACAGTAATATAATTGGCTGGTGTCAGCCATAAATACAGACTGATGTGGAGGTACAGGGACGACGCCTATGGTCTCCGCCTATTGCCTACCCCTACGACGAGGACCAGTCCATTACAGTTATTTGCTAGATTGTCCTACCCGGTTACAGTAGTCAATAACCACTTTACTACTTCGAACAAATCTCATCGTCGTCGCCAAGATATTGAATGAAATGTAGAATGGAAACAGCAAGTAAAGAAACTTATGGATCTTTTTTCGGTGAATGGATGGTGGAACAATGATAACGGTAAATTCAATGTTTTCTTGAAGCGAAAGGAAGTTGTGGAGGGGGAGCTACGATTTTCGTCGTACTGTTAATAAAAATGCACATAAAAGAAGAAACCAAATATTTTAAAAGTGCACGATTTTGAGCCTCGTAGTTTTTGTCTCTTTTAACTATTTACATATGAATATCAGTTGCGTATGTCTCCCTGGGTAGAATTTTGAATAAACTTTTGTATTGCCTTTCAGGATCTATTTTACTAGAGTTCTAATATCATGGCAGTTGCATTCATTTTATTTGAATTCACTTTTGCTCACAACAATCTTCAGCCGAGCAAGAGTAAATCCCAGATGATGAAACACCATTACTGAGAGACATAATAACTGAATCGAGATGTTACGTAAAGCATAAAAGCCTACCTCGTGGCTATTAATGCTATCTAGATTCATTCAATCGTGAAATTGTCGATATTGATGTACTTATTCAGGTTGTTGTGAATCTGTTGCCAGATCAGTGAGAATGTTTAGCAGCTTGTCGATAGCAAGATGGAAAAAAGAATGACTGAAAAAACGACAACATGGCCGCCGCACTGTTCTGACGTCACGGAATCAAAATGTTGCTTGACAATGTCAAACATATTGTTTGTTATTTATATATGATTATGCTTTAACTCCTTTGGCTAAATATTGCTGAATTTATTTTTATTTTTTTAAGAAGACTTACGGGTTATCGTTTATATACAGTTTTTATATATTTCAATATAACCTGACAACATGAATGGAAATATCTTAATTTTATGATTGCAAGCGAATTCCAACATTTGGAAAGCTGCCTGGAATATTTAGGCATTATAATGTGTTTATAATGTGTTTCTAACCTGAAGATCGTTTTTCTTGTTTTTATTCTTCTATTTTTTTGGAGGGGGCTAAAGTTATATGTATCAAATTTGAATTTTCTACCCTTGTTCATTTTTCACCATTTGATGGTTTACGTGTTAGTACTTCTAAAAAGACAGTATAAATTATTTTATTATATGTTAAATAATGACTTCCTAATCTTATAGTATTTTAGGCTGAAATCCCAATTTATGTTTTCATTTTGTGTCTGCCATCTTTTTCTAAAATTAGCAAACTTTTCGATATTTGTTTATTTATGTACTTTTCAGTAATTTGTCTTGCATTCTAACGGTCTTGTTTGCCTAGCTTTATATATATATATATATATATAGAGAGAGAGAGATAGATAGATATAGCTAGATATAGATATAGATATTTACATGCGCTTTATCTCTGATATTGAGCACTTTATCCCATAAATATAGCACACCTTAAAACTATATTTCTTCTGATATATATCTATATATCTATATATATATATACAAATGAGAGAAAATTTAAAAAATACTTTTCGATATTTGTTTATTTATGTACTTTTCAGTAATTTATCTTGCTTTCTAATGTTCTTGTTTACCTTGCTCTCTCTTCTCTCTCTCTCTCTCTCTCTATATATATATATATATATATATATATATATATAGAGAGAGAGAGAGATATTTATTATTTCAACTTTTTTCACAGCTACCAGATTTTTCTGTATTAGTATATATTTATTTTTGTACAACTAACCTGAAGATCATTTGTCTTATTTTTACTTTCTGGTCTTTGCTGACCTAAAGTTATATGTACCAATTTTGCATTTTCTACCTTTATTTATTTTTCACCAATTGATAGTTTAGGTGTTAGTACTTCTAAAAAGACAGTATAAATTATTTTATTATATGTTAAAAATGACTTCATAATCTTCGCGTATTTTTGCCTTAAAAGTCCAGATTTATATTTTCATTTTTTTTCTACTTTTCTAAAATTAACAAATTTTTCGATATTTGTGTTTTTTTTTAATTTATTTATGATTTTGTAATTTCTCTTGATTTCTAGTCTTTTTCATTACGTAACGTTTTATTTTAAAAACAGTTATTTTTTACTTTTTAAAACATGTTCTGTATATAATACTTATATATTTATATTATATATATTACAAAGTTTATCTGTCATGGGTACGATGATAAACTACATTCGTGTCCTGGGTGAGACGATAAACTACATCCGACAGCAAGGCCTTATATCAGGAGGTTTTGAGGAGCCTGGAACAACTTAATTACTGGTATTCCCATGTCAACCCTGACCATGAAATTATAAAAATAGGTTTTAATAACGACAATACTTTTTTTGAAAAATTATTACCCGGTGTACATTTTTGAAAAAAGGAAAATATTACCAGCAGTACATTTTTGGAAAAAATATTACCAGTAATATATTTTTGGCAAAAAATTATTACCAGCAGTACATTTTTTAAAAAGAAAAATATTACCAGCAATACATTTTGTTTTTTTTTTTAAAAAATATTACTAGCAATACATTTTTGGTAAAAAATATTACCAGCAATACATTTTTGGTAAAAAATATTACCAGCAATACATTTTTGAAAAAATATTACCAACAATATATTCTTTGAAAAAAAAAATTACCAGCAATTAAAACCTTTTCGGTATTAAATAGCCCATTGAGGTTGATATGCCGTAAAACAAAAAAGTCAAATCAAACCAAAGTTTTTCATAGTCGGGTGTGAGAGTACGGACAATCTCCCACTGTCTATAAAATGTTTCCGTGGCATACGTTCCAAATAGCCTCTGACAATTAAGTCCAACTTCAACCTTTAAAATGGACGAAAGCGGGAAACTGGCGCTTTATAACCAGCTGCTTAGGTTAGATTGAGGTCGACAGTCCAGGAAGGCAGTCCATCTAGGGGAAGAAAAACTCTGATTTTAAATATCTGCTGCCTTGCGGTCATATGCAATCAAGGAAAATATTATGAAAGTAAATCCAGAGAGGAAAACCGGAGTGTAGTCCCGACGGAGCTTGGTTGTCAACACTGACAAGTTTCCAGTAACTCCTACAGCCAAACCGTGTCCTGTATTACTTTGAATCTTGTCGGTACTTCCGAGATGGAGACCATGTCGTCTGGGCAACGCACGGATTCCATATACCATCGAACAGGCCTGTATCCAGTCCTACAACCAAAGTACGGGATTTTCACCAAACATTCCGCGTTTATGACACGTGATAAACGGATGCCTATTTATTATTATTATTACTATTATTATTTATAAGCATATTACCATCAGTATAGTTTGTATTGATTTCATACAGGATCCTTTATTTAATCCATGGGGGTAGATTGTTCTCGATCTGCTGTCCATGTCTAGGGTTATCAATTCCAGTTCTTTTAGTCCTGTCCTGTTATTGTTTGCTCCGGTGTCACTAAGTCCAAGTACGCACTGCCCGGCTCAGGAATTGAACTCACAATTACCATGTTACTAAATTCTCGAATCAACGCTTTAACCTACCAGGCTGATGGATAATGGGAAGGAATTCCCTTAAAGGCACTGTTCAGACCTTGCACGAAACAAATTAAGAAAGATATCCAATTTTCCTCTCTTCGACGGCAACCAGTCTAAGACAAAAAAAAAGAATTCTGGATTACAGCCGTGGGGAATGCAACAGGAGTCCTGTTCAGTCTCCTCCTAAATGAATAAATAAACCATTACTTCTTTAGAAAAATTATTATGAAATAATTCTTTCGCCACAATAAATCTTATTGTAATATGCATCATCGTCTAAAATTCGGGCACAAACAATGCGCTTGTATGAATACAACATGATGTCTATTTTACAATGCTTTTGTTATTATTCAGGATTACGTCCACATCCCGTTGAATCATTGGTTCCTGTACGATCACCGAAGTTAAGCAACGTTGATCATGTCTAGTACCTTGATGGGTGAACGCATGCTTATACCAGGTGCTGTAAGCTTGGATGTACGAGTAGTGTAATGGATAAAGACTCATAATTATTAATCTGTGTGCCGAGTTCCAATTCCAGTTGGGTTCGTTATATTCACTTACGCGCAAATACACTTGGGAAAGGTTCTTCCCCCGCTATGGGTTAATTAATAAGATTTGTATCACTAGATCATTATTATTTCCCCCGCAAAAGAAAACAAACATATTCTTACAATCTAAAACTATTGTCTGTCTGTCAGTAACCAGGAAAGGGATGTTGAGGCATAGAAACGAATCAATTTAATCTATCTGGCTACAAATGGATGAAATACTCTTTCGGTTCGAAATTCTCTGAAGGTTACTCTGATCGAAAGTTACGCGGATTGTTAAAGAATAAAAAGACCGAAAGATTTTGATAACAACAAAGATGAGGAAAATAATCTACATATAAAGAATTTAGTCTACGAAACAGGCTGTATTTTTGCATTCGTAGAAAAGCAAACGCCAGAATCCTCATAGAGTCATTCCTCAACTCTACCCCTTGTCTTAAACTCGCAAATATCATTATCTAAGTCACAGTACGACCTGTAGAGTCACCTGCCATGTTTTTAGTGTTTTCTTTGGCGTAGAACGAGTTAATAAGTATAGCTCTTACTATTATCAAAAGCAGACCCTGGTGTAAAATAAAATAAAATGCTTTTCATAATATGGATTTGTATATCCTTGTACGTATGTCGATGTTGGGAGAGAAATACCTGATATAAGGAAACCCGCTTTTTCATTTCCTGCGTTCTGTATAAGTAAAAGGGTATTTTTATAATCGATTTTAGAATTACGCACATGGCCTGGCAGTAAAAGACTATTTCAAACAGCTAAAACAAAATAAGACACAAACTGGCTTTCAAGAATCTTTTTTTTTAATTTTTAGGCATATTAATGAACTGTTTTGAAGCATTTAACTTTCTTATCATAGATCCTAGTAATATTTATATACACGTCTTTATAGCCAGTGATAATGTAAAAAGATAAGAGTTACAATTATGCGATTACGAGTGCATCTGCCATTAGGGTCGTGAGGGGACATACACTGCAGCTGCATCAGCAGTGCATATGTCTAAGAAATCGATTCCCATTTTCCAAGCCTTCCTTTCTTGTTTGTATCCTCTTCAAAGCCTCATCGTTGCGCACACGCTCAATCCATGGTATTCTTAGCATCCTTCTGTAGAACCATATCTCCGTTGCCTCAAGTCTCTTCTTCATCTTTGAGGAGACCGTCTAATATTCGTTGCTGTAAAGGAGGAGCAAAATCCATTATGGCTATCGCTCAACGGTTTGTTCATGATGTGGCGTTCAACAAACTTTTTCTTGATTATAGACTCGTGTCTTGTTTGGTTTGTTTTGGTTTGTTTTGTTTTGATTTAGTTTGGTTTGTTTTACGGCATATCAACCTCAATGGGTTATTTAATGCCGACAAAATTTTTATTGTTGCTAATATTTTGTTTTGTCAAAAATCTATTTCTGGTAATATATTTGTTGGGTTTGTTTTGTTTTGTCGCATATTAACCTCAATGGTTTATCTAATGCTAACAAGATTTTTTTTATTTCTTTTTTCAAATATTTATTGCTGATATCAATTTTTTAAAAGTATTTCTGGTATTAAAATCTATTTTTAAACTTTCATAGTGTTTTGAGTCAGGTTGTGGGCTCAACTATTTGCCCATAGCTGGGACCCTACCAGGTGCTACCACCCCGGGTCAGGGTGGACCTGGGAACACCAGCAATTGATCAGAGGCCTTGCTGTTGGACGTAGTTTATCGTCTTACCCAGGACGCGGATGCAGTTTATCGTCAGGACGCTCGTGTCTTGTACTGGGTATACTTTAGTAAAAAGATAAAAGGAAAGATCTAAACAAGATTATATTTTTCGATATGAAATCTAATCATCTCTATTATTATTAGTATTAAATTGACAGTTTAGCGGTTTTGAATAATGGATCTAATTTAAAATGGGACTGTTTTACTATTGTTTATTAGCTGTGTGTCGTTATACCCGTCGTGAATTCGTTCTATTATTAAAAACTCTCCTTTTCAACGGGTACAGAGACACCTCTGTCCCTTATACACCCTGCTATACTCAAATTGCTAACCATTCAACTCCTCGGTCAGGCGCTTTAGTTTGTGAAGTATAGTCACAGGGACAAAAGCACGATTGCTCACGGGAGGTCGTCTGCAGAGTTTAGCTGCTATGAATCGGAAATGCGCAGAAATATTTATGGCATCAGTTGCGCGCACAATTTCCGATTGTTGTTTCGTCGGTGGAATGGAAGCGAGATACACATGAATAGATATTTATGAAAACGACTCTCTGCGCATGTGCACAAAGGCCCATAAAAGAGAAAGAAAAGTTCAATAAAATTTCAAAGCATGAAATTATAAACAAAGTTGCGACCGAAATATTCGATCAGTTTTAAATGATTGGTTGCTATGTTCACCTTCAAAGGTGTCCAGTGTCTCGCTGGACATTATACACATCTAGTGTCGTAAATAATATTTCACAGGTATGGCACGTGTTCTGGGCGCTAATTGAAGTGACAACACCGAACTGTTGTAAAAGCCATCATTGGATGATAATAAAAAAAGTGGATATTCTTTCAATGAAGAATCTTTTTTTATTATTATTGTCATATACCTTTTCAATAAGTATTACTACGAATTGGTATCAGTGTAGTTTTCATTTAGCTTTTCAGTAAGTATAACTAACTGTTCTTTTATTGTTCTCTCTCTTTAATAATGCTTTTCATTTTGTCTAGCACTCGGAAAACACTTGCGTCTTAGTGGCTTTATTGCCTTGCTTGGAGTGAAATGACTGAAAAAAGAGCAACGTACAACAGTTGATTTCAAACCCACTTTTATTTTTAATCGTTTCTTCTGAATATGCCCCTGGGACTCAACGGATTACCGAGAGCTATAGAAGATTTGAAAAGGTTAATATGGAGCGAAGGCAATCAAATATTCAGGAAAAGAGAATATGGTGTTGCATTTAAATTTTTGAATATCGTAGCTGACAGGAATGTAAGGAGAATAGAAATTACGGTTGCATTTAGCTTTTTCAACAGTAAAATGTTGAGATCTATTTTTCAGTTTAGTAGTTCGTCTAAAAAGTGATCTTTCACTGAAATACAGAGCTTTTAAATTTGAATTTTTCCACTTTGTTATGAATTTTCCTAATATTGTTCTGGCGTATAAACATTTATATATCATTCCTTCAACACTCACATACACATACACACATACATACTATTTTTATTTTTTATACCTATACTCTGGCGGAGTAAAAAAAAAGCCCAGGTGATGCAATCTGTAAATAAAAATATATTAGACAAATTGATATTTGGGGAAAAAAATTCAATAAAAAAAGAAAACATTAAGAACATCCGTACTGCTTGAAAATAATCAAGCAGCACCGCAATGTCTAGCCAAAAGAAAAATACACCGTCCTTGTATTAAATACTGTTGCTATATATGGTCTGGTGCCTCCACTGTTCGAGGTTCTCGACAACATCCAAAGTCATATATGCAATGGCATCTGTTCTGACGAGCTATTTTCACTAGTGCCCCGACTGTATGAATTTGATCGTGCTACTTGGCTGGCATCCTGGTTGCACCCTTTCACTGTCGAAACAGTTAAGTTTAACCGCCTATTCTACTCCAACAGCTTCTCTCGCATTTTCTGATGCCTTGATTCCTGTTCTTCTTTTTATCGTTTCTTCAATCACCAACTATATTCTATAATATCTTTTCTCTTACTTTCTTTTGTCATATTACAGTGGCAGTTAATAATTAAATATAACTCAAGATTCTAATGTTAAAATAAAACAGTATTTAATTACAACCGCAAATAAATACTTAACAAGAACAAAGAAGTAAAAGTCAACCAAAGATAATTAACCATTTCAGTGAAAACCTTTTTAGTAGTGCGGTTCGGCTTAACGCCCAGTAAGTTCTAAACCAAACCTCAAATCCTCGACGCACAATGATTCACACTAATTCAACTGGATAGTTCCACGCTTTAAAATCATTCAATAATCACTCTATAAACACTCCAATCAGTAGTTTGACACCGCTATTTATACACTTGGCGGAAAACATATTTATAAGTCCAGAGTGTCACGTTTGAA